AAGCATCATATAAAATGCAAACACCTTGAGAAATAGAACTGCAAGCATCAAAGGTTTATACAAGTACATTATTTTTTGAGGTGCAAAAAGAAATATATAAAGCATGTTTTTTCTATACGTACTCATATGTTGGTATTGAAGATGGATGGGAAGTTTACATTGTGCAGCACAGCAATAGTAAAAGTGATTTTAAAAATGAATTTAAGGTAATTTTACTTGGTTTTTTTATGAAAAATGTAATAATATTCATATATGAATATGATAATATTCATATATGAATATCAATATTCATATATGAATATTATATGAATATATGAATATATATGAGTGTTGATATGAGTAGTCTTATATGAATGTAAATGTGTAAATTTTGTTTTTGTATCAGGTTGAAATAAAAGTTGAAGAGAAAGAAATAAATTACAGTTGTGAACATTTTAAGTGTATGGGTGTTTTATGCAGACATGCTTTTACAATAATGATGAGATGTGGTGTTAAAGAAATTCCTAAAATGTACATTTTGAAGGGATGGAGAAAGGATGTGATATCAATAAATTATCGTTTTAGTTATGTTCAATCCGATTCAGGTGATTGTGAAAATGTAAAGCTAGTCAATGATTCATATTATAGTTTTGAATCATGTTTGGATATTGTAAGAGATGACAAAAAGAGATTGACTTTGTTTGCTGAGAAACAACAAATGTTGTTGAAGGAATTTGAGAGTGATTATATTTCTCCTGGATTGAAAAGCAAGACAGATGGTGAAGTCGTATGCAAGCTTTTGGGTGTTACTATTCCTATTCCAGAAGAGATTAATATTCATGTTCCTGAAGTTCAAAGAAATAAAGGTTCTGGAATCAAGAAAAAAATTCCATGTGCAGGTGAAGTAGCATATGAAAATTCTAAAAAAGAACATAGAATGTGTTCAGGATGTGGAAAGCGAGTTCCAGACAATTTACGTACTTGTCCAGAAAGAGTTGGAGCTGCTAAATCAGCAAAAGATAGTTAGGGATTTTTTTATTCATTTATGAATATATGCAGATAAAAACAATAAACAATAATATTCATGTATGAATAATACACATTTATATTGATATGGTAAATTGATATGTTGATATTTGTTTTTTAAATTACTATAAAATAAGTTATATTGATATTGTGAATTATTTATAAATGAATATAAATATGTGAAATTTGTTATACTAATAAATAAGTAATATTCATACATGAACTTTTATATGTTAATATTTGAACTTTGTTATACTAACATATTACTTTGAACTTATTCATAAATGAATATATCATATTCGTATTCATTTATGAATAAATAAAAATAAAATTTGAAAATATTTGAATATAAAAAAATGACATAAATAAGCAAACTTGTTTCTACTAATAAGTTAGTTATATTCATATATGAAATTTGTTATATTCATATATGAACTTTGTTATATTGACATATTACTCCTAATTTAATCATAAAATGAAGATATAATATTCGTATTCATTTATGAATAAACATAAATAAATTTTGAAAATATTTAAATATAAAAAACTGACAGAAATAAGCGAAGTTGTTTCTATTACATAATCATTCAACACAAGATAATAAAAGCTGTTTATAAGACTTTCACAAAATATTAAAACGATGTTCAACAATATTTAACAAACCATTTAAAACTTGTTTCGCAGAATCATCTTACATGTACTTCAAATCCATTCATCTTCAACACAAACTGTTCTATAGCATCACACTTCAACATTCTTTCATCTTCACAAGCAATCATTAATATTCTTTTAACCTTTTTTGAATTGTTTGCATAGCTTTGTATGCATGATCAGTACGCACTTTGAATTCAACTTTTTGATATTTTTCAGCAAGATCCAACACCTTAGCCTTCAACATGTTAATTTCAGAAGTTAGCATTATGTGTGCATATCTTTGCCTGAGCTTCTCTAAAGTAGTTTGCTGAACTGCACTTTCTTTATGAAGACCTGGTTTCCACTTTGAGAGTGGTTGTCCCATATAGGTCTCCATATGTCTCATTGTAAAGACCCCACAATCAACTTTGTTTTTAACTGTTCTACATGACATTTCAAGTCATTGGGGTTTGATACTTTCTTTTGAGATTGCATTTGCTCTTGGATGGTTTATTTCTTTAAAGTATCTCACAAACAAATTTTTCTGATCATTAAATAAAATAAAAGTTAGATATGTAATAAATTGGTTCTTTTATGTTGTTGTGAACTGGGTACATACCAAAGGTTTCATTATTACTCCGTATTTCCCTTCATAATCCCCCTCAACTGCACTATTGTCTAGAATTTCAATTGACGGTTTCTTTAAGTTGAAGACAATCACAAAAATGTGAGCACTTTTAACAACTGGAAAGAATACCTGTTTTTATGTATATAATGGTAAGTATTTTGTTGATACAATATATATAAAAAAACAACTTTAATTAACATACCATGTCAATATCTTTTATGTTCAAGATTTTTTTGTACCCATTGGTACTGTCATGAAAGTTCTCCTTGAATTTTTCATACTTTCTTTCATCAGACAATGTTGAAGTTAGATAAGCAGTCTGTAACCAATATAATCATATGTGAATTTCGATTGAATATATATAATTATGTTAAAGAATACATCATATTTGTATAATGATATGTGAATTTAAGTTGTAAAAAAATATAACATTCATAAATGAATACATCATATTGGTGTATTCATTTATGAATAAGGAAGGAATTAAGGTTAGAACATAAACTTATAGAAACTCCAACTTTCAAGAAGTGTTTGTATGGTGAATTTCCAAAATCCCTTTCCAGTTCTTGGTGGTTAAGTAAATCAGACCAAGTGTCTAAAACTTCTCCAAAAATCTTTGTGTTTGCATATAGACTTTCCATAACTGCTCTTTTCTGCTATCTGATCATATTTTGTCTGGACAACCACATCTCTGCAAATATATAATCAAAATGTCATAGATTATTATCTATATAATAATCATATATGAATATATATATATATATATATATATATATATATATATATAAAATAAAGTTACTTACGATGTATTGCCTTGTAAGTTGAACAACCATTCACAGACAATACTCTCCTGATGTGTCAGTTTGGGTTTTGTGTCTGTTATTCTGCATTTGAAAGGTGATTTGAAAGCATCAGCAAGCTTCTTCTCTCTTGGTTGATCTAGATCATGCTTTGATGGTCCTACTTCAGTAGGAATTGATACAGAGATTGGATTTGGATTAAGAACATTTTTCTTTGCTAATATGATAACAACCTGCTAATGGTCGTCTTTGATTTGTTTCTTTGTAAGTGCTTTTTTTGGTGAAGATTCATTAGATTTTTTACTTGAAGTTTGATCTGAATCTTGGCTGAGACCTAGACTAAAGCTTGGATGAGTATCTGCATGCCAGGAGATTTATCATATAAATAGTTGTAAGTTAATTATAATATTTGAGTTTATATTTTGAAATGTTTATCCAAATTGTTACCTCATTTATTTCCTTTTATCTTGTCAGCTTTTTCTCCTTTCTTGTTTTGATTTTCTGACTTTTTCTTTCCTGAAAGATAAAGAAATGTGATTAAGTAATTCATATGTGACTAAGTAATTCATATGTGACTAAGTAATGTATTCATTTATGAATAAGTAATACATATTATTATTTATGAATAAGTAATACTATATTTTTTATTTATTCATATATTGTGTTATTCATATATGAATAATAAAACTTACTATATTCATTTATTAGTGAATCAACTATTTACCTCTATCTTCTGCATTTCCTTTTTCAATTTCTGTTTGTTTTTCTTCACATCCATCTTTCGTGTTCTTAGCTTCCGTTCCTCCTTCATTTCTATCTTCAGAGTTTTCCTTGCCTGAAACATATACATCATATATGAATATTTTTTATTTTTTATTCATTTATATAGTATATTATTCATTTATGAATAAACAATGTTATTAAAAAAATCAATATAAATATTGTAATATATTTTAAATCATTCATTTACCTGTATCATCTCCTTTTGTTTTTTCAACTTTTGTTCCTTGTTCATGTATACCTTCTGATTTTTCTTTTTCTGCAAGAGTATTAGTTTTACCTGTACTCATTGGTGATCCTGGTCAAAATTTAACAAACAAAATTGTTATTGTGTATTGATATTTTTATATATTTTTTTAAAATAAAATTAAGACAAAATTTACCTATATCAATATTATCGAAAATAGTTTTCATTTCAGGGTGATTCCAGATTTCATCTTCTTGACTATTTAAACTTGAAACTCCAATTCCAAGGACATTGTCCACCATGTTATCAACAACTTTATCCAACAAATTTTGATTTTTAGTTTGTTGAATAGTCTCTTCATGATTATTTGTTTCCTTAGCATGATCATCTTTTTCTTCTTCATCATTCTGATTTTCATTCCTCTTTGCATCTTTCTCTTTTACTCTAATTTTACCTTCTGTTTTATTCTTATCTGCTTCATTTGAATCAAGCAAATAATCTACTTCTGGTTGACTTGCACCATTATCACTGTCTTCTTCACCATTTCCCTCTTTATCTTCATTTTCTGTTTGATCATTTGTTTTTTGATCCATTATTGGTGTCAAATTTATTCCTTAAACTCCAATTTCATTACTTGGAAAATTAAAAAGTGTTGTGCTTTCAGTTTTTTCTTCAACAATCATATTTTTCATCTTTTCTTTGAAAATTCTAAAACTTTCCTTTTCAGGGAACTTTGTCATCGCATCATTAAGCTTTGAATTCAGCTTTTCCTTCATCCTCTCAAAACTATTAATCATTTTTGATATTTTTGATTCATATGCCTATGTAACAAAAAGAAGTATATGATTAGAATTTAATATAATAATTTAATGTAATCATATATTATTAACATGTTAAAACTAATTACCTCAACAGAATGATCTTCATCTTTATCAGAATCATTGTCTTCGAGATCTGTATCTCCTTCATTTTGTTCATTAACAAATTCTTCGTTTAAATATCCAACTCCAAATCTACCTTGTTCTTGTTCAAATGTCTCTCAATATCTAATCTTCTCTGAACTCTAATAACAAATTGTTGGATGTTTACGTGTTACTGTTAAAGCTTCTGAGTGGATGTTATCAGCATAGAACAACTGCACATAAATGATAACTAATTGATATTCATATATGAACAAGTAATATTATTTTTTACTTATTCATAAATGAATAAGTAATGTAAAGCATTATGTGTGAACAAATATATTTTTCTTATTCATATATGAATATTTGCTATTAGATTATGAATAATCAATATTATTAAAAATTGAGTATAAACATTATAATAACTTACCACCAAGAAAGCTGAAGGTCCAACAAAGAAGCTGTTATCTGAGTATGGTATGTATGAGTTTTTTGTTCTGACAAGACATTCCAAAACATAGCTGCACCAATCTATGTTGTTGATATCTGTTTTTCTTGAAATATAACTCAAGGGAAACAGGTTGCATCTTCCCATTGATGTTGACTCGCAAAAAGTGTTGACAAAAAGAACTAAGAAGTTCAATTTGAAATTGAAATCAGCTTGTGTGGTAGAAACAATAACATTTTTTATTGCACTCAGTCGGATGATTGAATCTTTTTTAAATTGTTGCTTCCATTCATCATAACTTGTATCATCCTTAGGCCATTGATCCAGTTGTGTAAGTTTGGTTCCACTAATTGGTATGCCTAACATGTCATGAACAGACTCTGCTGTTACTTTTAATTCCTTTCCTTCAATATCTATCACCATTCTCTCAGAATCAAATTTTTGAAGAACATAAAATCCCAGCTTCAGTGGTATATCCGTGATTTTCATTTTTAACAAAGATCCAAAACCCATAGACCTTACAGATTCTTTTTGTTCTTTGGTCATCCCAAGGATTATAGATAGTAATGCCTCTGGTGAACATCTGTTTTTCATTGAGTAAAATTCTTTTACCATTGATTTTTTTTTGTCTTTTTTGATTGGTGACTCCTTTTTTTTGCCTTCTTCGATGGATGACTACTTTCAAAATCAGAGTATGAATCTTGTAGTTGTTGTTTTTCAGGAGTTTTCCTTTTTGATGGCCTTTTCCTGCTTTGATGCTTCATTTTCTTTGGTACTTTTGTTTCTTTTTTATCTGGGAAATGAAAACATATAATATTTGAATAAGTTACTGATATATGAATATGATATATGCTCGTTGATTTAATAATATTTATTTATTTCAAAAATATAACTAATATATACCATTTTATTATATATGAATATATTAGATATGATAGGAATTTTGTACCTTTCGCATTTTTCCTCTTCTGCATTGATCTTGTTTCTCTCATTGTTGGTGAATTTTTATCGGAAATGTTAGTGTTCTTACCTTCATTCAACAGTAAGTATAAGATAAATGAGTTTGATATTTACGAATGAATATTTTGAATAAAACATATGTATTCATACTTTTTTATTCACATATGAATATGTTTTGTTATATTCATATGTGAATAGAACATATGTAAGTGATTCTTGTTGTATTCACATTTGAATAATGTATGTATGGCAGCAAGCTATGTTTTATTCATATGTGAATATAACATACATATTCAAAAATGAATATTTGAATAATACATATGTATTCATATTTTTTTATTCACGTATGAATATGTTTTGTTATATTCATATGTGAATAGAACATATGTAAGTGATTCTTGTTGTATTCGCATTTGAATAATGTATGTATGGCAGCAAGCTATGTTCTATTCATATGTGAATATAACATACATATTCACGAATGAATATTTGAATAAAACATATGTATTCATATTTTTTTTATTCACATATGAATATGTTTTGTTATATTCATATGTGAATAGAACATATGTAAGTAATTCTTGTTGTATTCACATATGAATAATGTATGTATGGCAGCAAGTTATGTTCTATTCATATGTGAATATAACATACATATTCACAAATGAATATTTGAATAAAACATATGTATTCATATTTTTTTAATTCACGTATGAATATGTTTTGTTATATTCATATGTGAATAGAACATATGTAAGTGATTCTTGTTGTATTCGCATTTGAATAATGTATGTATGGCAGCAAGCTATGTTCTATTCATATGTGAATATAACATACATATTCACGAATGAATATTTGAATAAAACATATATATTCATATTTTTTTATTCACGTATGAATATGTTTTGTTATATTCATATGTGAATAGAACATATGTAAGTGATTCTTGTTGTATTCGCATTTGAATAATGTATGTATGGCAGCAAGCTATGTTCTGTTCATATGTGAATATAACATACATATTCACGAATGAATATTTGAATAAAACATATGTATTCATATTTTCTTTATTCACATATGAATATGTTTTGTTATATTCATATGTGAATAGAACATATGTAAGTAATTCTTGTTGTATTCACACATGAATAATGTATGTATGGCAGTAAGTTATGTTCTATGTTAATATAACATACATATTCATGAATGAATATTTGAATAAAACATATGTATTCATATTTTCTTTATTCACATATGAATATGTTTTGTTATATTCATATGTGAATAGAACATACGTAAGTGATTCTTGTTGTATTCACATATTAATAATGTATGTATGGCAGCAAGCTATACATATTCACGAATGAATATTAGTTTTGGTTGTGTTCAGAAGTAACCAAAACATATTTTATTTACCTTTTTGATTTGTTTTTGGTTTTCGTTTATATGTATTCTTCACTGTTGTTGTCGTTTCTGTAATGGTAAGTAGTTAATATTAGGAAAACATAAGCAAAATGTTAAGTAACGTTTGTATTTTGACAGAATAGTTTTGAATAAAGATGAAAAATTAAGAGATGATGTAAAATCATTTATATATCAAATAATAATGGATGATTCTTACAAAAATTTCAAGTAAATAAAGTAATAACGAAGGAGGGTTACGAGAATGAACGAGTATCATAAATTTCAAGTAAAATTGAAGTAAACAACCTTTTTTGAAGAATGAACAGTGTGAAAATAATGTTTTTAGTTATAAATCAACTAATAATTTTCGAACATTACGAGAAATTTCAAGTAATCAAGTGATAATTTTAGAAATGATTCGAAATCGTTAGAAACTCGAGAAAAAACGCCGATGGTTACCTTTCATTGTCAAGAGTGAGGAAATGGTCTCGTTCATGTTTTCATCGGAAAACATTTTTCTTCGTTTATGTTATTTGATGCTTCTGCAAATGTGTTTCTTCTTGTCGATTGTTCTTCAAATGGTTTTCGAGTTATGGTGTATCGAAGAGGGAAATGGTGCTTTTCTGTCGATATTTGACGTGATATCAAATTACTCAAGTGCACTGATGGTTTAATGTTTTTTGATTATTTACAATTTTGCCACCGCTCATTAATGTATTTGGATTATTTACAAGTTTGCCACCGTGCATTTTTTAAGCTCATTAAATGATTGGCTGAGAATGGTTCCCCCATTCTCAACATTTTTTTTCTCAATTGAACCCTCCTATATATATATATATATATATATATATATATATATATATATATATATATATATATATATATATATATAGAGAGAGAGAGAGAGAGAGAGAGAGTCAAGATTAGCAGTAAATTTTTGGTAGAAAGCTAAAAAGTTTTTTTTTCTACATATTTTTTTCGCAAACAAACAAAATAAATCATTAGATGATCCATTTGTAAGATGATTCACAAGAAAAAATTCTCAAAAAAAACATCTCTATGATTCATTTATACAATGATTTTGTTGTTATTCACTAAAATTATCATAAAATGATTTTTTTTAATTTATTTAAAAATAAATCATAAAGATTTTTTTTGGGAATTTTTTTTTATGAATCATCTTACAAATGAATCATCTAGTGATTCATTTATTTTGTTCGTCAAAAAATATGTAGGAAAAAAACTTCTTAACTTCCTACCAAAAAAAAATTCTTACCGGATCCTATATATATATATATATATATATATATATATATATATATATATATATATATATATATATATATGATGTGATATCCTTCCAACTCATGAAAATCCATTATTTTACTCTTTTTCATTTTTGTTATGATACCAATTTTTTCTATGAAATATTTTTCAAAAAAAAAAAATAAAATAAAAACTCTAAAGTACCCTTATAAATCGTCTAGAAAGAATGTTGAAAAAGAAAACTTTTGATGTTCACATTTAATTCATTTTTATTTTGTATATCATATATCAACCAACTTGTTGAAGATGTTCAAATAATATCCTTAGGCGGGACGGTGTGGCTGAAGGAAATTGTATTGGTGATTTGTTATCATCAATATTATTTAAGTGTAATGAGTTTACTTTGTTGACCAAAAATGATCTTGATAAATATTAAACAAGTAAGGAAGGTATGGAGTACACACTTGTTTAAGTTTGATCAAGTTTTAAAGTACACTTTTATTTACGGGCGAAACCTCTAAACAAACGGGGGCCTGGGGGTAGCGCCCCTGGGAGCGGGGTTTTTATAGTTTTATGATAGTTTGAAACTGTCATATGACAGTTTTCAGACAAAGATCATAAAGCCGGTTTTGGTCTCATTTCCGGTACATACAAAACTATCATCAAAACATTCTAAGTTCTTGTCTCTCTAAGTCTTATCCGATTAAAGAATATTGGTAGTACCACCCAAATGCTTTAATCTGAAAGTGTTTAACACAATTATCATAACTCCAAGCCTTTCTATACCCCAATTTCTAACAAAGGGTGCGGGAAGCTTTCCCTCTCACCTAAACACTACTCCTTGACTGAGGGAAAATTGGTGAGGGAAGGAGGTGAGGGGGCCCATTGTCGCACTCTCTCTCCTATTCCTATTGGCCAACTTTTTTATCTTTTTTAATACTTATTAAATTATATAGCTACTAAAAATTTTATATATATATATATATATATATATATATATATTAAAACTCATGGTTTTTAATTCCCTACAAAATGAGTATAATAGTTGTAGGAAATATACTTTTTTTAAAAAAAAAAATAATAATAGTGAGGTAAGTTTCTCATCCGTTCCTTAGGTTTAGGTGAATGAAAGAAAATGAAGGAAAGGGTGTTGTGGCCCACAAAAAGTGAGGATAGTTTCTCACCCATATTCTCTAGTCTAACCTACAACACTGTAAGGTCCTAAAACAGATCTTACCAGTGATCAAATAGCAAACACAATTAGTAAATCAATTAAGAACGAGTAGAATAAAGAACAAACAAGCTTGCACATGCTTTTCTATTAGAATCACGTATGGTACAACTTGAGGTTACAGGAGCTGAGAATATTGAGGCATCAACAACTACAAAAGACCTAGAAAACCCCTATTTATACAATATTGGGTCGGCCCTAGGTTTACGGCCGTAAACAACTTACAGCCGTAAACTCCTTGACAACCGTAAACTCCAAGAAAACTATAATAAGGTATCGACTAACCAAAAAGACCTATTACATAGAAAGCCTATACCAAACCACTAATTAGACCCTTCAATCTCCCCCTTGGTTTGGTGCTAGCTTTAGGTCAATGTTTGTTCACGAGCATTACATCATCCAGTCCCATGGCGCTATTCCACATTCTCTTATTAATAATCTCGGCAACCATCGCAGTGTACTCTTTCGCAGCCGACTCGAAAATCTCCTCAGCAACCTGAATTTGAAAATTGCTCAAGTGATGAATGTCCCATTTTCTGAACTCGAACAAATCCCTTCTGTCATATAGACGAATGCATCCTTCTTTAAGGTTGATGACAGCAGATGTTATTGTCTCATCAAATACACAGTAAAGCATAGAACTCAAGGATCCATTCGGATAGCTCTGAAGCACTAGAATTTGTTTGACCTGTTTTGTAGCAGGCCACATCACCACTTGGAGGGGATGACCAGT